TTTACAGAGTTTGTTCTAGAAGGCTAAGACAAACTGCGTACCTCTGTCTAATATAATTATGTTAGGCAGGCTATAGTAAACTTATATATATTAGTAGAATAACTAGGCTATATTAGAGGCAGTTATAAAAAAACATAGTATTAAGTGTTAATACTTAGTTAAGTAATTAATAACTACTATAATATTTATATACCTTTTAGATAAAAGTAGGTCTATAATAAAATTAATTAATATGTCTTTCTAAGCTTATTTAAAGATTAAGAGTAGTTTAAGTAAGCTATTATACCTTTCTTAAAAGGCCTTTACTTTATAGTAAGTATAGCAACATAATACATATTAGCGTACTATATAGAACATGCGGGGCTAGTAGTACTCTCTCTATAGTAGGTTAAGAGTCTTTCCTCTGCCTAAGTGTCCTTTAATAGGCAAGTTATATATAATTTAGAGTAGTTTAATTCTTAGTTTATTAAAATTAAAAATTATAAGTTAGTTATAGTAATATAGCTTACTATTTTAGTTTTTATAGTTAGCTAGTGTTACCTTTTTTAACTAACTAGCACTATTTTAAAGCAAGTCTAAAGTTTCTTAAATAAATTTATTATTTAAATACTTATTAGTAATAATTTAATTAATTATCTAATTTATTTTATTTAAGTTAAGGTCTAAAAATAGCTTAAGTTAAAGTAAAGTTTAGTATTAAGCTTTTTATACTTTTTTTTAAGTAAAGATGTTTTAAGATTACTTTATAAAAGTATCTAGTTTCTTTTTATTTTAACTAAAATAATAAGTAATCTTAAAATTAAAATAAAATAAGTATTTAAACTAATAGGCTTATTAGTAGCTAAGTTATTTTATAGTTATAAAGTACTATAAGTTCTTATAGTTAGATAGAACTTATATTAGATGCGCTGCACTTTCTAGTTTAGGTTGCTATTATTTAAAGTAGTGTACTATAGTAAGTAATTTCTTATTATAAATCTTATAATTACCTTTTATAAAACTTATTTTTTTAAGAAGTATATAATAGGCCTAATAGTCCTATCTAGCTTAGTCTAGAAAAGAACTCCTGCTACTACATAGTCTAAGGCATTAGCTTTTATAAGTATTAGTAGTTTAAAGTTAAAGTAGTAGAGTATTAAAGCTTTAGTAAAAGCTTTTTTTAGCTAGTTAAAAAACTATTAGTAATTTAAGTTAAAGTTAAATTAAATTTTTTTTTTAGTAAGTGTAATTATAAAGCTTACTTACTATAAAAAGTTATTAATAAATTATTAGTAAAAGTTAGTAAATTTTATAAAAGCTTAAATATTTTTTATATTCTTTAGGTATTACTAATCTAGCATAGTCTAAACTTTAATAAGGTTTATTTAAATGCTATTTATAAAAATTACATATTCTAAATATATAACTTTTAATTAGTAGAACTTATATTTATTTATATTAAGTTATAGACCTACTTTTTTTATAGCTTTTAGCACTAGGTGTACATGCTATTTATGCTCTAAAAAGCTATTACTATAGATTAGAATATTATTAATATACATAGTGTAGAACATGTCTAAGTAGGGTTAAAGTAAGTTATTTATAAAATGTTAAAAAGTACTAAGTGTGTTAGCTAAGCTAAAGGGCATTACTAGGTACTTAAATAGTTTATATTAGGTTTAAAATGCTGTTAGCTACTTATTACCTTTTACTATCTTTAGCTTATTAAAAGTAGCAATAATATTTAACTTTATAAAATACTTTACTTTACTTAGTTAGCTTAGAGTTTTCTATAAAAAAGAAATTAAGTATTAGTTTTTAATAGTACTAGTATTTAGTCTTTAGTAGTTAACATAAAATTAAAGCCTACCTTTAAGTTTCTTTATAAATAGTATAAGTAACACTACTAGTAAAAAGCTAGCTTAAAAAAACTTTTTTTTTAAGTTTTTATTAAAGTATTTTTAAAGCACTTTTAATTTATTTAGTAACATTCTATATAGTAGCCTATAACTAGGTTGTTTACTAGGCTTAAAAGTTATTTAGTAATTATATAAATGTTATATTAAAAGCTTATTAGACTTATCTTAAAAAAAA